TGGGCACATATTAATATGCCCACCGCTTAAGTGGTATGTACTCATTGGTGATGTATTTTTTTTAACATATTAACATCACCAATGTGTGCATGCCACATAAACGGTGGGCATATTAACATGTGCCCAACATGGGTAGGGAGCGTTATCCTATAAACCAAACCCACACCAAATCTTATTTAAGGGACAAACGTAAGAAAAATGAATTGTCTTGTAATACACATGAAATTCTACGAACTGAACTGTCAATAAATAAAAATTCTACGTCAAAAATGATTACTTTGATAAATCATATTTGAAAAATTGAATAAAAAAATAAGAAAATTTGAAAATAATATTAAAAATGCATGAATTTTATTAAATGAGAATAAATAATACTCCCTCCTATTTAAAATAAATGTCATTTTGAGAAGTTGCACAATAATTAAAAATAATTTTGTTGTCAATAATAATCATATTTAATGAAGATAGAGATGAATGTTTTAAGAAAAAATGAAGAGTGAATATGAAAAGACGTCATGTATTTATTGACTCAATGAGGGTAATAATGGAAAAACCATGTACAAAAAACCCAAAACGACATTTATTTAGTTAATAGTTGATAAAGTCAAAATGACATTTAAAAAGAATAAGATGTAGTATCAATATGTGGTAAGATTTGATTCGAAAAATAAATCAATTGGACAATAATAAATGCACCTTGCCAAAATTGCAATAAATTATTTATCTCAAATATCAAACTTGATTCCAAAGCAATAATGTATATACAACCAAGTTACGAAGCAAAAAAAACTTCGCCATGTCAGCATTCAAATCATGTGAGTCCGCCAAGTAAACTCTAACATGTTTTGAATTAACATGTATGGTGGATTCTCATGAGCAAACATATTATATTCCTGATTATACACATTGTTAAGTGACAATATACATATTTCATAGTTACATGTAGCAATTGGTGACTACACAATAATGCAGTGTTTGTAGCAGGATACATAATAATAACTCAGAAAGTGTTCAATGCCTCTGTTT